ATTCCAATAATAAAAAGAATAATTTTGAGCGGTTTGTGACACCGAAGAAAGCTTCTTTGGGCCCAAGTTTGTACTGGAAGTTGTAGTAACAAGGTTTGGCCACTGTGCCAAAATGACGTCAGAGCCCAGGACATTGTGGAGGGGATGATCTCAGCGGAGACTCGCGCAGCTACCAGCATGGCTGTAGACTCGCGTCTGGTTTCAGGCTAAAATCTTGTAGCTAAATGTGACACACAGGCCAAATTGTACAAAAGATCTGAAAGAAATTTAGTTTCAAGTATGAAAGCCTGACAGGACCTTCTAGAAACTAAGAACAGCTTTTTATAATTGAAGACAAAATCATAAATGAGCATGTCATTCTTCAAATTAACTGAAAAAGTAAAATCACCAGAGCAGAAATGGGTTTTCACTGGACAGGAAAGTTATGAGAAACACTATGTTAAACCGCAAAGAAAAAAAGCATCCAGCTGCCAGGTTGGCCTCGAGAAAAGCAACAATCAAATGTCTGCAGACGCCCCCAGAGCCCTGAGGTCCTCGGAGACTCAGGCCCCAGTACGTCTTGTTAGAAATTAAAAAGGAGTTTGAAAATAACGTCTGGTGGATCAAATCCTGAGACGTAATGTAATCCTGTTTGTGGTGAAACATTCAGCTACTGCCTTGGAGTCAAATTCAGCCAAACATCAAAACACTGGGAGTCTCATGCAGCCAATACCCCAGACCTCCTCCAGCATCCGAGTCAGAGAAGCCACTGAGCCACCGGGGACCTGTGGGCCAAAATAACTCCACACACACCAACATGGACCAGTTTGTGAAACACTTCAAACTGGGTCACACTTCTCTGAAAGTGACAAAAACAGTTCAGGAAAGCTAGCCTGAGGTCTGAGCACAGCTGTGGTGAAAGCAGCAGGTGCAGCGGGGTCAACGGGTCCAACTGCATCCACCTTCCCTCACTATGTCTTAGTCCCAGCTGAGGACAGAAACACTGCAAACACAACAAGGATGGAAAGAAAAGGCTAAGGATAGTTACCGGCTATGAGCCAGGGCTAAAGCAGCTTAGCCATGAACCAGAGGTCCCCAACTACAATTCAGGGCCACAGATCTGGGCGAGTAACACCCAATTCGAGAAAGTTGCAACTAAAAAGAAGTTGGATGTTGCAAGAAGTAAAACCAGACTCAATGTCGGTGTGGCTTTTGAATGACAGCAACAAATGAAAACAAAAGGGGCTGAACAGCGACGCCATGGTGGCCATGTTTCTTCTGGACAGGTAACTATTGGTTTTGTTCTGGTTAGGGGGCATTTGTTATTTTCCTGAAATCTGTACATAGTAGTCAGGCAGTGCACATTGTGTTTTGGAGGAGTGGCTTTGGAGAGAAGTCAGCATGAAAGGGTGGGATTTCTTCAGTTGTCTATTTTCAAAATCGAGCTTCCTCTTGCTGGTTTTTCCGGGATGGCGAACCCTATCTTTAGATCATGATACTAGTTTGTGCACCTGTATGATATGAATGATCTTGATCAAATATAGGACTGAAATTGATGTTACTTTCCTCATGTGGCTGCCAGAGCAGTGCACAGAGGCCCTCTGTTATCTGTCAGCTTCCTGCTGC